TAATATACAATAGTTACTGACCATCATAATATCATAATATACAATAGTTACCGACCATCATAATATCATAATATACAATAGTTACTGACCATCATAATATCATAATATACAATAGTTACTGACCCCATCACAATAGTTACTGACCATCATAATATCATAACGTAATATATAAGTTACTGACCATCATAACATACAATAGTTACCGACCATCATAATATCCTCCTGTGAGGTCTAGGCCGTTGTCCAGGCCGTCAGAAAGTGCTGAGTCATGGCGCCACGTGACGCGCTGGTCTGGCGGCAGGGCGCCTGACCGCTGCGCTTCGTAGAACAAGAAGCTCATGCACAGCGCCTGTCGTCAAGTATTTAGTATAAATAAATGCTTCGTACATAAATATTGTATGTGAAATTATTTATTATGTTTACGAGCGTGAAGGATGGTATCATGTTCCTATAAGGTGCCTCATGTCTATAATAAAAACACGCGAACAACCCGTATGCAGTTATACTTATTTATCATTTATTCTTAGAAAAAAATTCCGATAATTATTTGCAATTTATGGGTCCATGTATGGATACAAAAGATTGTAAAAATATTTTAAATCGTGAACCGAACATTAAGACTAGTCTAATTAAGTTCTGAATTCCCTCTATAAAAAATATTTTGTCATCGAAAGATGTGAAGAAATACATTTTCAGTGAATTGCGACGTTAATAGACTAATTACTTCTTGTAAATTAACAGATCCCAAATTTAAAATTACGAATCATGTTCCAGCTAATACATTTCTAAGTCAATAATTCTGTTGAGTTCACATTCATGTTCATCTTATAATGTGTGACACGAGTGATCTCAGACTCAAGAGATCGGTGCTGATATCTGAGATTTGTAAAATTGCTCAAGTTTCGTTGGATGCATTAAATGATTTTTGGAAAGTTATTAAGAGGATGATTTAATTTACGAGATGAATTTACACAGCTACTACAATAAAATAGTAATTTGAGCCATACAACGTCGCTCAATTAGTTAGGTTTAGATCAACTAACTCATACACTATATAATAAGTTTATGCTAGTATAGGTTGAGCGTTTTGAAGTATTTATTGACCTCCTTGTAGTCGTAGCGTCCGCCGTCCGCTGATGGAGGACATCCCGGACCAGCGGCCTCCACCACCACGCCTGCTCGTGGGTGTGTTTTTCTCGGAATAAACGCGAATATAAATTTTGGGAAAAAAATAAAAAAGAGCCGTTTGTAAAAATGGTGATAATAGAGCAGTGCGTAATATTGGTTATTCCATTGCGTCCTCCGGAAACATTTGTAGGTTTATTAAAACAAAGTTATACAAATTCGTCCCGTCTAAAAATATTTTTCAGAACTATCAATAATATTTGGTCGAACCACCAAATTCTCTTCACCGGTTTATTTCTCTTTTAATTGTGGAATACCAAATCGAAGAAGAACCTATCTATTCACACAAAAATACACAGATTTCTCACACAAGTTAAATGAATTACAATTTTTTTCTTTTACTCTAGAGTGTTATGTTACGGCATTTTTTCTCGATTAGTAGGAAAATTCGAGTTCCAGAGAAATGTGTAGCCTGGTGTGTGTTATAAATTTAAATGACTTGAAATAAATTCGGAAAGTCATACATATAAAAAATGAGAAAGTTACCCAAATTCCGTTAAAAACCTGAGTTTGTTTCGCTATTCTCTCACCTGCTATCAGGAGCAGCACAGCCACTGTCACGCGCCTCGTCATCGTTGCCAATGGCGAGACAGAGCAACAGGACCGCTTATCATTCCAAGATTTATCAATAATCAATGTGGCACCAAGAAAAAAGTAATTGTACATTATTTTCTGTTGCCTCTTACTGTAAATCGTCCTTTAGAATGCTCGAAGGACACATTTATTATGAAGTTCCGACTCCTTTGTTTGAAAGATATATATATATCGCTACTATACAACTAAGCCTAAACAATATCGAAGTGCATTTTCAAATTTATTTTTCAATATGTATTTTGGCAAACAACAAGGCATTCCTTGTGTATTCCGCAACGTATATCTATTTTCTTGACTACATTTTTTTGCAGAAAGTTAAATGAAAAATCTTATATTTACACGACTATCTCCCACAAAAATTGATGAATGGCGTGCAAAGAGACAAAATATGATAGTATTTACAATTGAAGCAGAGTAGTTAAAGAACCGGCGTCATAAGACAACATGAATTGAGAACATTAACGAATTTACGCAGATGGCAATTCGATGAGTTCTGCGTTATACACATCAATGTTGCTCATTTTTCAATGTGCCTTTATTGCCAGTCGCAACAGGAAAATACTTTACCAGCCAATCTGATAAATTCGCATTCAACGGCTGATATACGATGAATACGTCCATTTAATCGTAGGAGCCTTATTTTGAATTCAAAAGTAGTGATTGATTCATTCATTTCAATATAGTTCTACAAGAAATTAATTTTGTCTAAAAACGCAAATATTTATCAAAATTTTGGGCGGATATTCATTAATTGAGCCACGGATCTCTAAAATTTTTAATATATCCATGTGCATGACGTGCAATCATTCCTACATATTTCTACTAAGAGCGCAGCAGTCAGGGTAAAATGACGCTACATATTTTTACCGACATATTTCGTGTCTCACGTCGTCAAGTGACTCGTGGGAAACTCTACCATAAGTTCTATATTTTGTCATTCACGGATCACAAACATAAGTACCTTCTTAATGTAATGATTCGTTTTTATTTTACTGATATTTCCCTGAGAATTTTATAACAATTAACGAAAAGATTTGTAGAAAGTCGAAATACTGGCATTTTGAGTATTTCTTAATATAATTTTCTGACGGGTATGCATCATGTATCCCCGTCAAAGCGACGGGTATACATCGTGAAATAAATTGGAAAAAAGTCTGAGTAATCAATACGAGCAAGCAATATAGATATAATTAAGCCTTTCAATGATAATTCAAATATTGACAAACTTTTCAGGTAACTGGAGAGTTCAAGATTCTTATTTAGCATAAACAATAATCCAGAACACGCATTTTCTTTCTTTTATTTGTACAAATTTTGAAATAATCATATGCTGAAAGTCAATTTGGGTTAAAGTGTGAGTGATATTAAATGATATTTCAAATTGAAGATTGAAAAATTTCCGCAACAATGTCGTGTGAGGGATTTTTTTTTCATTGACTGAACCTAATGCAGTGAATAGAGCTGCACCGAACTATTCTGTTTTGCTTCCGCCTGTCAAATATTGTGATATTTGAAGATGAAAAAATGCGACAGAAAATTAATTGCTAAAGTTAAAAGTAATTTTTCGTACATTAAAGATTAAAGTAGGCCCGCGAATCCAGTCATAATCCGAATGATCCGAACACCTAATTAACTGTAAATTGTTTGCTAAGCATTTGCTCTGACTTGGAACGAGGTTGTGTCGGAGCAGAGGTCTACAACGACTTTCCTGCAGTCCATCCTCATACCCATGTCCTCAACCCGAAATAATCTGTCAGTTTCTGCATAATTCACCATGAGCCGAAGATCCACTCTGTACCAGCTGCCCTGGGATCGGGGACCTGTTCCCCAGGCACAATGCTAAGGCCCAGCCTTTCCTCTGGGCTGATCCTTATCCTGATCTTTTACTATGGGCTCGCACTCTGTGAGTACGCCAACTTGAAGTGCGCAATTTATTGTCGAGGACGGTGTTTTAGGTCTAAGGATTGTAGGCCGTTTCACGGCCTTTATTACAATAAAGATGAAGGGACGAAATATTTATCGATTACCTGCTAAAAAGATGTTAAATGAGTTTCTAAATGCTTAATAGATTTCAAAAGAATAATAGATTAATAACTGACGTAAAACACTGAAATAATTCCGTCTCTTTTGAACTGGTATAAATGGTTTTAATCGCGAGAACATTCCCGCAATATTGACGACTTGATGACGAATGGCGCGTAGAATTTTCATTCAGGCTACATCAGCTTCTTCATTCGGCAAGATTTGACTACATTTACGAAACAAAAGAAACAAAATTTTTCTTGTCTCTTATAGTTCACTATTAAACTTTTTAAATCTCCCTCAGTCTGTAACGTGAATATCTGTAAGGTCATGGCAAATTTGACATTATATGGATGAATTTTTCAGGAAGGACATAACGCGTCGAAGCTCGTAAACTTGGCAGCAGAGGTTAACTTTCTGGCATTTCGGCATGGCTCGCACCCGCGTCACTTGCTCCCTTTCGTCTTGTTGAGGCTCGTACCCTTCGCAGTCGCGTGTGATTCTTACGAATATCGGTATCGCACGTACCCACTTTCGTAACTCTCCGCGGTTTATTCAGACTCGTACTCGAGTGATTGCGTATTATGTAACTGAGCAGTTGGAACTCGTCCCTCCGAGTGTTGTAAGTCAATCTTTTAGAACTGATGATAGTCGATGAATAGGAATAAGTATCTAGTTGTAATTTACGTGTCCTTGTATGAAGAATTCTGCACATCTGTAATACAAAAATTTCATCACAAAACTTCGCTCTCGATTTATTTTCGACCAAAGTATGGGAGTTTAGAACTCGACTAAAACGGCCATCGTTAGCCTCTGCGTTCAAAATCAACACACAAAAAGCTGCAAAATCAGCACACACCCTTAACCAATTCTATTTCGCTGATGTATTTCGGCTTGCACTTACACTGTTATTCTTATTCATATCTTTTAATCGAATGTCGTGCCGCATGAGATGTGTTAAGCCTCAAGGCTCGCCTTGCAATGGCACTGCTGACCAATTGCGTTTAAGGCAGGCAAAGGACGAAATATCACCGGTTGCTATTGTAATTACATCTGCGCTTGTAAAGAGACGCTAGAACCGGTACGGTAAATAACCACGCTCTGCTGTTTTCTAAAGTCTCTATAAGTTCTCAACAGAGCTGTGGGCTTCGCAGCACGTCCGTTTGGCTTTCGCTACTAGGCCTTGCCCAATCTCAAGGTGAAGGAAAACGACAAACGACAGTGCTTATTGTAGGATAATTTCAATACAGATGAAAACTGATCAACCAAGCTTGTAGACGGCGAAGTGTGAAAAATAAAGAAATTGTATATTGGATAACTTTCATGAAAATCGTAAAGGTCTCAAATCAATATGGAAGAAGATCTAACGGGGCTTGTCAACTATGGTTAAAGTCAGCGCAATCAAGACGGAGGCCTACTCCCTTCACGCTCCAATTGGCTATGCTCAAAATTACAGGATAGACTCGCCACTTCACACGACGCACGTACTAACGGGATTTTTATACCCTTGCATTCTCTGTCTGCACGTGAATTTCTTCACTACCAAGACTCACAATATATCCTGCATAATAGACGTTTTCTATCTATAAAGTCTGAACTATAATCGAAATCTTCGGAGGCCGATGATATGTGCCCTCACAACTGCGGCTATAGCCTGCCTCTAGCAATTGGAGCTCTTGGTTTGCCGCCTCTACGCGCCCAGCCCCCTTGTTGTCGCTGAGCATATTCTGGTCCAAGCGCAGATATTTGCTTTCATCAAGCAATCAGCTTGATCAAGCCCTTATCGATCCCTTATCTATATAACCGTTAGCCTCCATTTCAATAACCAATACTTTAATTAGAGGCACATGGACGCTGTCAAGCTTTTTTCAATCCTCTTGATCAACCCGATCCCCTATCTAGATAACCGTTAGCCTCCATGTCATCAACCACAATAGTTTAATTATAGGTACATGTATGCTGTCAAGTCCTTTTCGATCTCCTTGACCAAGCCCTTTTCGATCCTTTATTTAGCCAACCGTTAGTCTCCATTTCATAACCAAAGTTTAACAATTTGCATATGGACGTCGCTCTCGTCGTAGCCCCGCTCTCGTTTAACCCCTATAAGAGTTTTTCCAGGATTTGGGATTACGGCGTGATCTGACGGGTCAACTCTCGCTGTTTGAGCTCAATAATTGATACATTCAAGAATTAGGGGATGGAATAAACGACACTAACTAGTTTTAATTTTTTCCCATGCATCATGCACGTAGAAATATAAATAATAAAATGCATATCAATATAATATTTATTATTATAGTTCATGTTTCTGTTTGAGAACTAATATTTACTGTTTATAAAATCATGCTTGTCTGAGGGAGGTGAGAGCAGCCAGCGCGGATGTGAAGCCCGTATTTCCGCCCACCGACACCTCGTTGTGGACGTAGTCGCTGCGCTCGTCCGTGTAGCCGTCGCTCTGCAACAGCAGGAGGTTACATGGTGCCGCATCGTTACTCGTCAAAAATGTGGTGCGACAAACAATTTTTAACCAAATTCAAGACAATTATGTACGATAATTTACAAATTTGTCATAGTCCCGTGAATGCTGAAAAGTAAATAAAGATAGAGATGTATTTTGTGCTTTTAATTTCAACATATTATACATCAAAGTTTTAAAAAGTAAGCAACACTCTTAATCACCATGTCAGGTCCTCCCACCAGGGCGCCGTAGAGAACTTGGGGGTTTGGCCCAGGCTGGTTCAAGGCCCAACCGTCGTCGCAAACCTCAGGCAGGTCAAGGCACGAGCTTGTTAAACGAAAATAATGATGATTAAAATAATTTAGAAAACTTTCTCAAAATCTTCGGCAATCTTAAACATGAATTGGGGTAGACGAAAAAAAAAATATTAATCCATTACGCGTAGCATCCGTAAATTGAGATGGGAGAATAACAACTGACTGACAAGACAGTTAACCAAATTAATTGCAGATAGTCGGTCAATAAAAAGCATATTGGTAATGCGGGATATTCAGCCACCTGCCCCTGTGGTGAGGCCTTAGCGGGTAATTGTCGCCGTAACCGATGAGGTAGGATCGGCCGGAGGACCCAAGCGCGTAGTTGATCTGTTGCTCGGCCCATGCCCTGTTGACTTCAGGCTCAATTCCAAGGTCAGCGGCCTGTCAGAGGGTTGTTTTGATCGTCATGTTGATTTTTTGCAAAAATTCTATATAAGTTAGCTCGCACTTTTTTAAATTGAGCGGTAAATACTATTCATGAATTAACAATCACCGTGAAATAGAGTGCAACCTTACTGCAATGCCGAAACTGTTTCTAGCCAGGTTTAAAATAAAGATTGTTAAGTGAAATTTGTGATTTGTACAGCCCCTTTGACTTGACTTTGCCTGCCTTGAGTGCGATGAACGCGATTTGCGTCGCGCTAGAAAGAGACCCCCACTGGCTGAGGTAGAGCATGCCTCCCGGTGTGTGTGGCATGTTGCGGTACGCCCTCAGCGTCTCCGTCAGGACTTGCACGTACTCTTCGTCACCAAAAAGTTCTACGAACAAAACCTGGCAGCAAGGTCAGCGGCCTGTCAGAGTAGTATTTTGATCAGATTATTTGCAATATTTTATAAAAAATTTTATTTGGTGTAAGAAAATTTTGATGCAATTTACATTTTTATGTTACATCCACGCAAATCTACAGATATTCCCTGCAAAAACTTCGATATCTCATAAATCAGTTCGCGCTCACAGGAATCATTTGTATTAGTTCACAACATGAAATTGTTGATGGTCATTAAAACCATACCAAAAGCTTTAACAATTTTGTGTAAAATACATCACCGTAATCATTTTCGATCCCTTCAGATAATTCACTTGGTGATTCGATGTAAAATATACACAATCGTGTCGCAAGTCAAAACCTGGCACTGGTCTGTGGTCAAATAATAATTTACTTGATAAAAGACCTGATTTTCACTATGATTCTTCTTAGACTCTGCATGCCTTTAGTGCGATGAAGGCGGTATGCGTGGCGCCAACAAGAGACCCCCACTGGCTGAGGTAGAGCATGCCTCCCGGTGTGTGTGGCATGTTGCGGAACGCCCTCAGCGTCTCCGTCAGGACTTCCACGTACTCCTCGTCACCAAAAAGTTCTACGAACAAAACCTGGCAGCAGAGTTATTACGATGATAAATTTAGGACTGCTGTGGGAAACTGCTGAAATAAAAATGAAATTTTTAGGACTGATAATGTACGACTATTTCAAAAGCAATTGCTTTGTTATGACAATATATGGACACAGCACAGTGGTCAACCTATTCCACGAAAAAAAAGTTAATTTCCAATTCTAGACGAGGATACTTCCTTCACTATAATGTCATTGAAGTTGTATTTTGTGTAACTGAAATTTATGTCATAGCGGCATAAATTTGCACTATACTAGCGCATTTTTGCACCTGATCTCCGGCGTTCTTGTTATCACTTCCGAAGCCTTCAGTGCCGCGCGCTGCCGTATTGAACTCCGCCCATAAATCTTTGGCCTTGTCAGCGTAGAACTGCTCCCCGGTTACCTTGTACAGCCAACAGGCTGACCACACCAGGTCGTCTCCGTAACCGCTCCATGACCTGGCATATGCAGATAAAGATAGGTAGTTATAGCACAGAGCACAGAAAAAGCAGAACACGATCATGACCCTCATGGTCATTTAATAATAATATTAATGACAATAATAAAACGGTTTCAGAATTCATTAGGCCTTAGGCCTGTTGCCAATTCTTGATATTGTCCAATTCTGCTGTGCTTAACCGCCCGGCCTCCTCGCCGATTCTGACCAGAAACTGGCGCACAGAGCTGGGATCGAACCCGCGCCTCTCTGCGCCAATCCTGGTACTCTGAACTGTAACCACTGGGCCACCCTGCATGCCCGGCCCATACTCTTCGTGTTGAACACGAACATGACCTTCATTTCAAATCCACGGAAATTCGAAAATACTTAAATATTCTAATTTAAATCATTGATATATGAATTTAGCCCCTAAATCCTAATCAAGTCTGCATTATTACTAGCTTATACAGTAAAATTTCGAAATCGCCGTTAATCCGTTCCAAGAGGAGCGTCGACTTTAATAACAGCAAAATACCAGAAGCAATAACTTGAAATCAATTGATCCGTTGTAAACTTGCGATATCTTTGGACCTTCTTTCTTTCTTTTTAAAAGCATTAAGCAAAATAAATACCATAAAACATACAAAATGTAACTCAGTACTCACTGCAGTGCATGAGTGACAGAGAGAGCATTTTCTCGTCGACGAAAACGTGAAGTCACGGACGGACGGACGGACAGACGGACATGGCGAGAAAAATAGGGCATTTTTTCCATAAATGAGAAAATGTGCTAAAAAGAAAAGCAACGGAAACTGAAAACCTACATTTAACAGAGTCAGAGCGAAGCAGAGCGTCGGTTTGTTTATAGGTCACGATGGCCCAGTCACTTCTGAGTCAAGATTTTCCCAAAACTTAGCGTTGACTTTGTACATCTTGTTTTTTAATCTTCTTTTTGACATCTTCTTTTTGTCATCTTCTTTTTGACATCTTTTTGTCATCTTCTTTTTGACAACTTTTTTTTGACATCTTCTTTTTGTAATCTTCTTTTTACANTTTTTGTAATCTTCTTTTTACATCTTCTTTTTGTCATCTTCTTTTTGACAACTTTTTTTGACATCTTCTTTTTGTCATCTTCTTTTTGACATCTTCTTCTTGACATCTTCTTTTAGCGCATTTTCTCATTTATGGAAAAAATGCACTATTGTGCTCGCCATGTCCGTCTGTCTGTCCGTCCGTCTGTCCGTCCGTCCGTGACCTCAAGTTTTCGTCGACGAGAAAATGCGCTCTCTGTCACTCACTGCAGTGAGTACTGAGTTTTCTTTTTTTTCTGCGTTTTTTGAGAAATTTTTTACACATTCTTTTTGACATCTTTTTGACATTTTTTTACATCTTCTTTTCGTCATCTTCTTTTTGACATCTTCTTTTTGTCATCTTCTTTTTGAGATCTTCTTTTTAACATCTTCTTTTTGACATATTTTTGATATTTTTTTACATCTTCTTTTGACATTTTTTTACATCTTCTTTTTGACACCGTCTGTTTGACGTCTTCTTCTTGACATTTTCTCGACTGAGATCGATTACACGTCACGGAATAGGAATAGAGGGAAAATGTTATATTTTGCTAAGGAGATACACTGCATGCAGTTAATATAAGGAGCATGAAAAATTGCACATGCTAGTTCGGCTTGTAGCTTCGTTGGTTCCGTAGCGAAACTAATGCCGGGCTAGTAATCCACATTCACTATTTCAATGATTTCCTGACTGATGTGTTGAGGCCGCTCAGGCAGGCCGCTGAATTTTAGCTTTTTCAACTAATATTTTCAACTGCACCATGTATGAGAATCACACACCACCTCATTAGAAATTTCATTAATGCTGACGTATTGTAAAATTGTGGTAATTCTGCGATTCGCGAATTAAAATATTTTACAGTATACGAGTATTAAGAATGCTTCCTATTGAACATTTGCACTTCGAAGCATTCATGTAGACCAGTGGTTCCCATACTTTTTTCAGGCTGGCGCCCCCTTTGGCTCCCTAGCTAGTGAGTCTCTAGCGCCCACCTTTCCACGGACACAAATAAAAACAAACGCCTCTTTCTTGATATCTAGTACGCTGCAATTTTAAAAGAGAAAGATTAAACACAAATAGAACCCCATTTCGTAAACAAATATACATTTTTTACAGTTTTAACTGTTTCAGAATTGGATGTTCAAGACGGCTCGGACGAATTTACGGCCGGACTCGTGGCCGGCCTAAAAGCCGGTCGCACGGCGAATCTCCAAATTCAGTGACCAAGGAATATCACCTAAACTAATGAACGCAGCTCGATAAAACTTCATTAAGACCTAATGGTGATGTTTTGCTTGTGAGAAATTTTTAAATTTCACCTTCATTCGGGAGTTGTATGACGATATGGTCCGAAATTCGCAGTGATCAAAGAATTTCTTCCAAATTACTGAACAGATTTGAACGACCAAACAGTGATTTTTAGCTAGTGAAAATTTATTCGATTCGAAGTCATGTTCTGCACGTGTTGTGTACGAGGGTCATCCGGAAAGTAGTACCCGTTTTGGAATTGAACAAAAGGAAGTAAATATTAACAAATGTAAACATGTTTATTGAAAAGAACATGTATTACACTACTTCTCTACATAATCTCCGGACAAATTTAAGCATTTGTCGTATCGTGTCACGAGAAAGTCCGGACTGTAGGCTGGATGGTCGAAAATTTCCCTCTTGAATTTTTGGAGAAGTTGTTGTGTTATCCGACCCGTATGCGGCCTGGCCCGCCGTAATTTTGCCCACCGTAATTTTTTTAATGTTGCACAATATGCATTGGCATTGATTGTGTCTCCGCGAGTCGTGAAACTGATGAGCAGTACACCTTGCCGATCCCAGAAACAATGGCGGCGGAGGAACATGACACTGGTATACAAAAACTCGTGACACGATACGACAAATGCTTAAATTTGTCCGGAGGTTATGTAGAGAAGAAGTGTAATACATGTTCTTTTCAATAAACATGTTACATTTGTTAATATTTACTTCCTTTTGTTCAATTCCCAAACGGGTACTACTTTCCGGACGGATGACCCTCGTACAAATCGTCAAACAAACGTACGAACTTCGACTTCGCAAACTACCGCCCCCTACTGCCCCTTTCTTCCTCATCGCCCCCCCCCCCAGATCTTTCCACCGACCCCAGGGAGGCGATATCGCCCACTTTGGGAACTTCTGATGTAGACCTTCATAAAACATAGTAAATATTAATATCTGGTCTGTCTTTTGTCGGTGTGTATATAAAATGCAAAATAGCCTAATCAGCTGTCATCACTTGCTAAATAAAAATTTCTAATACGCAAAGTTCATGAAACAGAAACATTGCGAAAGATGATCAGGAAAGGTAGAAAGATGATTGGGATTAGTGTTCATGCAAATGAGCACTGTGTAGCTAGAATTGAAATAATCCTCATTAAACTTTTTTGAAATTAGAGCGAAAATATCTTTCCCACAAGATTTCAACGTGCTGCCAGATTGTAAGGGGATTAGGGGTTGATATAAGAGTATCTGTAATCTTCACCCTCTCTAGTCACTTTAAAATTCCGCTCATATTAAACTTGAGCTTATTTGCTTGGGTGATAGTCGTAATGATTTGATAATCTAAACATTAATATCAGATCTTTATGAACTAATGAAATTTTGCGTATCTCAATCATTGGAGCCAAAACAATTAATAAATAATTAATTGTATTATATCCATTTCTCACTTATAGAAGTCCACTGCATTGGGGATGGACTCGTGATACATCGCCCGGTACTGGTCGGCGAAATCGAAGAGTTCTCGCGCCCTCCTCACCAGGTCGTCGGCCAAGGCTGGGTCAGACTCCTAATGGCATGGGTTAGTGTTCAGAATTCAAGATGTGATGTTCGATAGTCGGCCTGTCTGATAATTCAATGAACTGTGTTTTTTTCGCGAAATATGTTGATTACGTTATAGGCCTTCGTGATTGAGTAAATAGGGCGAATAAACTTTCTAATTGGACAAAAACATATTTCCTTGAGCAAGTGTCAATAATTGATATGAAATTTTATTTTTTAATAGTAAATTTTCAGATAATATTATACAAATCCAATAAAAGTACAAGTTGTGTTGATAAGCTTATCAATACCACTGATCAATACAAGCAAGTTCTTTCGTTTCGTGTTAGTTATTTTTCGCACTCACTCTAAACACCAACGATGCAGCAGCGAAACCAGCAGCTGTTTCTCCTGCAAGCTCAGATCCTGGACGATGGGGTAGAGAAGAGTGTATAGAAATGTCTTATTAAAACATTAAACACATCGTACGTCTTTCATGGCATAGTGGCCAATTCTGAGCATAAAAATGTAAGATTCAAAAAATCAAGTGTGATTGGTCTTTTGTTACTTCTCCGTGAAACACCATTCGTTCGAAAAGTTTAGCCATGCTTCATCTGAAGTGTACCTGGAGCAGTTGTGTCAATTTTCCACGACGGTCGCTCCATGGGCATTTCCTCCGGTCTGCCCCACCACGCGTGGTCCAGATAACCGTCTCCAACCTGCCAATGATATCTTGCATTCATAAAATTATGATATTGATATGATATATGAGTGCAATGATATTGCACTCATAAATTCATTGCATACATAAAATTTTGCACTTATATGATGAAATAAGTAATCTGAAATAAAAGGCAAAATCAGCAACTCCGGATAACAACTACTGTATAAACGCCTCATGCAGAGTCAATATCTCAAATCAACTTCAAGTGACCTGAACGGAAACGTTAATTGATGAATGAAGATTAAGTAATTATAGATTAAATTGCAATGACTAAATGAGATACTACAACCGAAATAGCGTGAATAAATCATCCACGCAGTGTAAATCTGTTAGCGATATATTACTTTGTCTGATAATATATCGCAGAACACTAAGCAGCGAGCGAACAGCCTCTTGTGAAGGAAATCATCATAAATTTTGCAGCAAAGTAAAATCTATCTTGTTGCGAGAGCTTCAGAAATGGAGCTCAAGCATGAACGGATTTTATTAGTGGGAAGAGTCAATGCGCATTCTATTAATGATTTAGGAGGAATTCTGAGTTACAACGAGGAAGATCCAGTATTGAGAAATAACGCAGATCCGGCCCCGCTGGTGGCTAAAGACATTAGGTCCGAGGCAACGCACTCCAACGCAGGACCTACAGTAGCAACAACCCATGGTTGAATTAATAAATTAATACATTCAACCATGGCAACAACCTACCTAACGCATAGTGGTATGTACTTCAGCTGTGATGCAGTCAACGGCGACAGAGTAAGCTGCGACAGATTCAACCTTGCCTGAGACATCGTGCCGTATAATACGAGCAGCGCTGGAAGCGCGAGCACGAATTTTGGCGTTGAACAAACCAGGTAACGATAGCAGTCAAGTCTGAGGCTATCGTGTTTCTGCAGGGAAACTTTGAAATGTACCTGAAAGCGACAACTTTGCGACTTGTACGAACGAGCAGTTTGTGTCTTGTCTCTTAAATAGTAATGATTTCAAATCTGTTATAGGGATTTACAAAAACCCTTCTATTGCTTACCTTGACCATCATAAACGCAAACGTCCACCGCTGCCGAATAGATCTGCTCACTAGGCCAGAGTATGATGTGAAGAGTATAAATATACCGTTAGTGATGTGAAAAGCGTACAACCACTTTAACTAATTAACCACACCTGTGAGTTTATTCGTGGCAACTTACGTTTGTTTCTCGACGCAAATGTTAGCGCCACAGATAAACCTTCCCCCGAATTGTAATCAACGGTAGGATAAGATACTGAGTACTTAAAGGATTCCGCAATGAGCGACGATTTTGTTTATTTATTGTCCATCAATATCTATTTCCATGAAAAGTTTGAATTTTTCAACGACTCACATAACTCCACATTTGGACTCACGTACAATTTGACTCACCTGACCCCACAAAGTGCTACTTTCGCTGTGGCATTTCAAGAAGTAGTCAACTGTCCATTTGATGGCAACCTCTGCGTGCGCCACCTGTCCTGCAGGGGATATATTGCACAAATTCCTTTCAATCAAAGTTGGATTTCTTCCTGCCAATGGAAAACATTTACGAGTGAAGGAATGCTGGCCAGTAGCCAAAGAGTGTCGAATGAACAAGATTTATTATCATTACAGAAATTCAATTTGAGCAACCATCTTAGCAGTCAGGTCTGGCATCGACCTGTAAATCCAAATCTACACAATACGTACACGTGTTGAATTACCCAATTATCAAAAAGCGTTGCAGATGTGCGATAATGATATTTAAAATTTTCAAATAATTCACGAATAATATCTTAGTTCTTGTATCAATTATCACTCTTAACGATTCATGATCATAAAACTTTAGCTATAGATTCAATTTTTATCCAGTATACGTAACGACATCCGATTCCAATGACCTGTGTGAAACTATTCACAGTTCAATTTCGTCTACTCATTTCGAGCGTATTGGGTTTTTCCACTTCAGGATAATACTTTATATTCTATATTGTTTGTTCACCGGCAGCCTCGTAGCCCTCCCTGTAGGACAGCAGCCCCCACGACAAGGCGGTCATCACGAACGCCATCGGAAAGTTGAACTTGACGTGGTCGCCCGCTGTGGTCAAACAATGCTTTCTGTATGATGGTATTTTACTACAGCTTTACAAGTATATTATTCTTACTGATAAGCAGGCAAGATCAACTTTAATTTAGGTACGTTGAAATGGGTGAATCGTAACATCGACCTCAAATTCTACAATTGATAATCCGAACATTATCAAAATTTAATTTTACTTGAATTACTACAGTGATAACGTCCGAATGTGCACACAATAAATTTCGCATAACATCAATTACATCAATTGTGCAAAAATAGATCTGAATCAATGTGCACATGAGCATAGGAATTTGAAAAAACGTGCAGTTCCTTGTTACCATCATAATTTCATGATATATTATAGTTACCGACCGTCATAATATCATAATATACAATAGTTACCGACCATCATAATATCATAATATACAATAGTTACCGACCATCATGACATCATAATATATAATAGTTACTGACCATCATAATATCATAATATATAATATTTACTGACCATCATAATATCATAATATATAATACTTACAGACCATCATAACATCATAATATACAATAGTTACAGACCATCATAGTATCATAATATACAATAGTTACCGACCATCATACTATCATAATATACAATAGTTACTGACCATCATAACACATAATATACAATAGTTACTGACCATCATAACACATAAGATACAATAGTTACCGACCATCATAATATCATAATATACAATAGTTACTGACCATCATAATATCATAACGTAATATATAAGTTACCGACCATCATAACATCATAAAATACAATAGTTACTGACCATCATAACATTATAATATACAATAGTTATTGACCATCATAATATCATAACGTAATATATAAGTTACTGACCATCATACTATCATAATATACAATAGTTACTGACCATCATAATATCATAACGTA